CCCCCCCCCCCCCCCATGACCATTATTGCCACCATTTTCCCCACCACTACCACCACAGCTATTGCCCCCACCAACACCCTCATCCCACTGTCACCGCCATTACCCATTATCATCGTCTTTTTATTCTTATATTTTTTATCACTACCACCCTCATCGCATTATCATCGTTGCCTACCATCAGCACCCACCACTACCATTGTTGCCCATCATTACCTATCGCCACCCACTACCACAACTTACCATTATTCGTTGTCGCCTACTATCGTAGCCAGCCACTATCACCCACACCTACCACACCTACCATGACCACTGTCATTCTCCACCACCCATCACACTGCCATCCAGAAGTACCTGTTGTAGCCCACCACCACCATTGTCACCTCCCACCACCGCCATTGCCCCCTTTGTCACCTTAACATCATCACCATTGCCCACCACCACCACCACCACCGTCGTCACTTATGGTTGTCACTACTATTATCATCGCCTAAAATCCACCACCACCATCACCGTTATTACCCATGGTTGCCACCATCACCAAGATCATCGCCACCTACCATAACTATTATTGTCTCCCATTTCTACTATTGCCACCCACCACCATTACCATCATTCACCCCATTACAATCGGTATTTAAATTTCTTTCTCTCTCCTCTATATTTGTGATTTGATTTTAGGTATAAATATAAATATATTTATTGTTGATCATTTTTTTTTATTACAACATGCTTTCAAGTACGAATAATAACTAATATTTTTATATTTTATATATTATGAGTTAATATCCATTGATATCGTTTCGTTTCCCACATTTTTTATCTAGTGCCTTCTTCTTCCTTATTTATAACCAAAAAATTGAGGTTGATAGATCTAGTTTATGTTACTTGTTAGGCTCCATATCTAAATCCATTAATTTTTGGATATCTGGTCCGAAAATTAATGGATACAGATATAGATTAAAAATTTCAAAATCTGTCGAATAATCGCATCAGATCAGATTACATAAATTACATTCAGTTTCAGATTCGGATATGACAAAATCTGACAATGGACTGTGAATTTTTCACCCACTAGGCATAATGGGCTGGCCTATAAATGCTCGCTAGCCAGACCGATGGGTCTAGTTTGCCCAACCATCCAGGCCGCGTCCCGCCCCCTGTCATTGACAACATAAGCGGCACTACTAACCCAACAAAAAGATAATGTATAATAATGGCGTGTGCTTAATTTCCCTTATTTCAGAAAATAATGGCAATTGGAAAAGATTTTTTTGGGTAGCAAGATTGGATTTCATTGATACCGACAACATACAATAGCATTGAAGTGATGGTCACAGACGGGCAAGGCAATATCGGTGGTGGTCCATCGTTAGGCTGGGATTATATGCAATCCCGAGGGAGAAAATTCAAAAGATGTGATTAAGATGAGCATGACTTTGATATAAATTCAAAACCCTTATGTACTGACATATATAGATACTTAGGCACCCATTCAAATGAATGGACACAACCATTAGTAAGATTGAGACTTTTAATACAATTACAACTTTACTAAGAATTGTGTTGCTTCAATAATCCAAACCACCCCCCTCTCTCTCTCTCTCCTCAGTCATGGGAAAATAAACACTGCACAAGATAACATACAACTATCTTTGCCAGCTTCTGAGGAGTCCTACAATCCCAATTTGGATCAGCTTTCTCTGTCTTATGTTGAAGAAGTTGAATAACGAGAATGTCAGCCTCTGGATTCTTTACTGGTGAGCCCATAAGGCAGTTCTAATTGCAACTCGTAATAGCTAACTCTGCTTAGATGCATGAATCAGAGAGTAAACCCGATCTACCAACTGGGTTTGGGTCAAGTTGTTTCCAACTTTGGCTAGGCCTAGTGTCCCATGGCACTCTGAATATCCATCAATCAATCCAAGACAAAAGCACTATATTCTAGATTATAGGTGAGATCAGGCGGAGCCAGTACAGGTCCAGAGGGGGCACTGGTCCACCCTGAAAGTTCTCTAGACTTTGCTCTTGTGTTGTTATCTTTAATTTACTTTAGTGGTGTTAGTTTTTGGTGCCCACTCACAATACCGTAGTGCTCGCCCGTGAAGGCCATGACCCATATAAGAATGAGCCCATTTTCTATTTATTTATATTTTTTGGACCATTCATTGTTAACTTATTCACATTTCTTGAGTCAATCTACTATATTTATTTATTTATGTTATTATTATTGATCCAAGCTCACGTATAATTCTTTTTTCTTAAAATTATTTTATTTAAGTTGGAATTACAATTATGTGTTTAAAGAGGACTTACACTCTTGTTGTAGTTGTAGCATAACCCATCAGGGTTTCCTTGATTCTTGAAATCACAAATATCTTTATTCAATAACAATGATATAATTTAATAATGTTTTCCTTCCATCTTCAATATTTTATTGTTTGATTTTTAATCAATTGTAAATATTGTTAGGTGCTTGATTTTGAATGCCTACATTGAGAAAATTCGTTGAGGCTAAATGCTTTCAAATGGCAGGATTTTTTTTTTTTTTTTTAACAAAAGGCGTATAATTAATTTTTTGTTTTGTTTTAATTTTATACACTATGCTTACCTAATTTTGGCATTTTGTCTTTAAGAAAATTTTAAAGTATTAAAAGTAGTATAATCAAAAAATTAATTTTATTATCTTACTATTGTAAATTTTGAGAAAAAAAATTAAAAACTTATTAAAATATTTGATGCCCATCCATAAATGATTTTTGGGCTCCGCCCCTCATCATCCATAGCCTTCGGCCACTGGCCTGTGCCCAAATATCTATCAGAGAGAGAGAGAGAGAGAGAGAGAGAGGAATGTCTTATATCAATGCAAAGTGGTGTGGTGACTGGTGAGTACCTCAACAACGCCTTGGGCTTCAGGGCACATCTTTTTTCGCAGCCCTTTTTTGGAAAAGCACTTTGTTCTTTGCTTAAGAATAGATGGCTGATAGCAGTTCTGTAAAAAAGGACAATAGTTGGACCACTCACTCCACTTGTTTCACCAGATCAGATTTTCAAGATGGTTGGGACACTTTCAATTATACTTGCATTTAATTTGTGTAACAATCAGCTGCTGTCATTAGAATGTTAGGGTCCATAAATGTCCTCTGAAATTGCCATCATTACCCACCCTTTCAATAACATTCAGACAGAGTAGTGGGATGTCACTGTTCACACCTAAAATTCTTAAATGAAACATCTGTTAGTTCTCTAATTTCATTAAATTTTATTCCCAACACAAATCCGTAATAAAACGTCTCATAGGCCCTGATCAGTATTACTAGAGAACTGCTCACCGCTCACCCAATTCATACTACACATGTTCCTCACAACCCGAGAGATTTATAAAAAATACCTCTCACACCTCGAGATATTAGGATAAACACGTGCCCGTGAAAAGAAACAAGCAAATAAAATCAAGGGATAAACTCCATAGGTTCCCTCACATATCACTCCTCTTACGGCTCCAAGATAGATAGGTAAATGTCGGCCTTTCCTAAACTAAGGTTTTGATTACTTAAGAATGTCTTCTAAAAGTAGGTTTTCCAAAGCTCTCCATAAGCATTTAAAGATCAGACACGTTCAACAAGAATGTTTCTCCTTGTAAATATTGTCTTGCACATTCAACTTAAGAAAAGGCGAGGCGCTTAACATGAATTATCAATAATAAGAAAAAAGGACTAAAGAAATTGCTTGTGACATTGTGTAAAATAATAAAATTGCTTCCCAAAAGCAAGTACAATGAACAACTAGTTACAACCCTTTTACATAATAAACATACCTTCCACAAGTATTATGTATTTAATTTCACTAAGTATTCATCCTATAACTGTACAAACACCATAACTCCAATGCCCTCGAAATTGTGCAGACCAAAGTCTACCTAAACAAAAATTCTTTTATGTATATAAAAGGTACCTGAAACTAAACTCATACGGCATAACCTGGACAAACTGAGAAAGAGGTTCACTTTTTCCTCTCTCAAGGCACTTCATCGCTTCTTTTCCAAGTTCATTTGGTAGTTGAAGGCATATCCAATCAAGCAATGACTCCAAGTCCTTTGCAAAATCTAACAAATACCAATCCAACAGCTTTGGGATTGCTACCATTTTCTTTGTCATCGAAATGCCAACTGCTGCCTGTAAATACTCTCGTTTTGCCACTTCCAATTCGTTTTCTACCTGAGATGCGGTGTACACTCTCACCTGTATTTGCAGAGAAGTTCATGAATCAGTAACAGCATTTGATTTCATCTAAATTGAGTTAAAATCACACCATTAAAATATTTAATAAGACTGATGGGGCCAGAATTAGATACAATAAACTTGTACATGAGGTTAGTCAGTGATTTGCCTTTGTCTTTCGAATACTGCACCACATAATATTTTCCCAAAAATTGATCCTATTGCGAAGTAAGACAATTAATGAACTTTATCTACTCCGTGCATTAACTTACAGCAGGGGAGGACCAGCTTCCACAGGATAGCGCAAATGTCACCAATGGTTCAGACAACTCCAATCCAAAAATGCTACGTGCCATCATCTCATCACTTTTTGTACCTTTGGCAAAAGTCTGGTGGGAATCCAGAGATAAATTACACAGTAAGTAACTTTTAGAAGAAATAAAATAGGCTTATAGGATGAAAGGGGCACTACTTACATATTTGGAGTGATAAGGAAGCCTCAGTATAAAATGTTCGATGGTTATTGCATTCAGCAAGTGGCCCCCAACATTGATTGTTGCCTGACGAATAGGAGACCGGATATAACCGATGTATGAAATCATATATGTCCAGATACATGATCATTAGGTGCATACATACAAATTGTTGTGTTTTGCAAATAGCAGCTACAAGGAATAATATAAAGCAAGCTGGTCTGTAAGCTGATTGAATTTTGAGGACTAATGTATTCAGTAAGAATACTGCCAGGCCCAACCTTAGGATACAGAATATAACAGTATAAATGCATAAATGAAAGGATTGGCTGGATTGGTAATACCTTTTGCATCAGTGCAACTACCAACTCAGGGCTCTCTGGTATTCCATGTTCTAGAAAGGCCTGAAGCATTGTGTATATAGTTAGTGGCTCTTTCTTTTATACCAAACACACGGCAAACACGGCATAGGATTTAAAGTGAATGCACCAACCAATCCAACCACTCCCGATATATGGAGGACTATCCAAAATATATCTTACATAGTTTATTGAAATATGTTCATAGAATGATTTCACATACATTCATCATGCACGAATTGTAAGTGTTGATCCAAAAAGCAAGCTTCTCTTGATGGTTAAGGCCCTGTAAGTCAACCAATGCAAGTTTCCCAAGTAGGAGTCTGAGAAAACAAGAGACACTATATTTAAGCCCAAGCAGATATACCCAAAAAAAGGTGAAGAGAATAAGCAACCACTCTAGTTATGCAAGTAACTTTACTTCAATCTACGAACTAAGAACACTGAAATTGTTGTTTGGTTTGGATTGATTGAGGTGCCTTCAATTGCAAATAAATGCTTATAAGGACCCATGTCTCTCTTCCGAAATTTTGAACAGATACCATAAGGATCCTTAAACTCTGTACCCTCAAAGCCTTCCGATGAAGTTAGTGTCGCTAATGAAGGTAATCGCTCTACCATACTCCTACCCTTTTTTGAGCTCATTCTTAAGAAAATGCTTGATAAGCATTTCAAAGTGCTCTCTGAAATCTTATTTGGAGTATCATCATCTGACAATCTTTCATCCCGACTAGGCTGAGTCCTCCCTTCTGCACTTTCATGGTCAATTACGCTGCCTTCTAGCTGAAAATTCAGAAACCCATGTTCATTTCGCTGCATAGATGTATAACTTTCAGCATAATGAAAGTTAATCACATTAGCACCTGTAATTTCTGAGGATTTAAACGCTTCTCTGCTGATCTATACTCGATGGGAGGTCTTTTAACCGGAGTTCTGACAGTCTGGGCTTTCAAATTTGGTGATTGATGCTTGTTTCTTGTGGCATTAGTAAACGATTGATTCTCTTTTCCCTTTGCATCATCTGAAGAAATCAGTTGAAGAGTTTGTCAAAGCTTATTCACATTTCTGCTCCAGTAAACCATGAATACATGAATGCATAAGACAAACGAAGCAAATACGGGTCAACTTCAAAGCATTACCACGGAGAGAAGTGCAATGCCTCCCCACAGATGTTGCTGAATTGGCTTCAGTTTGCAGTAACGACATGGATTGCTGGTGTTTGGAATCAATAATGTGATATGGGTCGTATAAATCAGCTGAATCATCCATGTTCCTCTTGGAGGATGAAATGTGGACAGCTTCTTGATACAATCCTTGCCTGAAATGCACAACCTGTTCTTCGAGCCGCACAACCTCCTCTTCCAAAACAGCTACTTCAGCAAGAAGCTCCAATGTCTATAGAAATCGACAGAATTACAATCTCATTTCACATGCAGTAAATTTGAGGTAAAAGATTATCTAGCTAGCAAATAGAATATGAACTGGAGTTGGGTTATAACCTCTGTTCCGTTTGCACAAGTATTTTCAACCATGCCAATTCTCTTTTGCAATTTATTTCATCGCCCACTACAATTCTTAGTACTTTTTCATATTTCAGTTTTTGGTAACTTTAAATGTCACTTTCTACTACAACTATTGTTCAAACAAACAAAAAAGAATTGGAGAGAGAGGGTGAGAGAGTAAAATACTAACACAAGAAGGAAGATAAGGAGGAAGACGAGGTAGAGCTCCCAAAGGTCTGGTAAATGCCCTCTCCAAAGCTCTGTGAACATTCTCTTCATGTCTCAGCTTCTTCTTGAGTTTATCAACCTAAAATCCATGTATGATACTATCAGTACAACATTAAAATGGGAAAAAAAATTTATATTCAAATAACAATGGCAGTGATATCCACTATCTTACATCTTGTTGCAATGCCATTTTCCTCTCTCTGATCGAACATCGTCGATTTGTGGTCTGTTTCTCAGAATCCAATACCTTGCTTCTCTGCATTTTTACCTTTTCCTTCAAGCAATGAGAAACAATTGAAATACAACAATCAGCTTCCTTAAGCAAACAAAAAGGATACTGCAGAGAGGATGACAGATATATAAAGAAATGAAAAGAAGTGAAAATGTTCATGTGGATAAGAAATAAAGTAAGCAACTTTTTAAATTCTCTCAAGGCCCATTTTCCCGAGAAAATTTTCTGGGCTGGGAAATCAAAATCACTTAACCCACATAAAAAAAGAAAAAGATAATTATTTCTTTCATCATTCAGATTACTTTTGAAAACCCATTTTATGCTTCTCTTACTTTCAATCCATGGGAATATTTCCGCTTCTGAAGAATTGAAGACATACTGACTAGTGAAAAAATAAACAGCCATTTGTGAATAAGTACATAGCAACTTTCGTTCCCAACTCCAATACCTTCTACAGTAAAAAGTAAACCGTTTTTCAAAAACCAAGTAAAATAATTGAAGAGAACAGTTCAGATTTCAATTAATAACTGATGAAATAGTACTGGCGTGTGATTACTTTTTCATTCTTCATTGGAGCTTTCATAGACTGCAAAGTTGTCCGGACTCTGGTGTTCATCGTATTCTTACACCCCCAGAGAAATCAATGAACACACTGCCACACCATTAAAAACACATCAATTCTCTCTCCCTCTCTCTCTCAGACACACATTTAAGAAAATAGCAGAAGCTTGAAATTAACATTAATGAAATAGCTATAAAGGGAAGAACGAGACCTTCTTCAGAGGAATGAATTCATTTCGTTGTAGCTCAGAAGGCGGGAAAGCTGCCTGGGAGACCTCAAAAGGACAAAAAATACTATGATCAGTCCAATCTCTGCGTTCCTCGATCTGTGTGAACAAATCAACACCAACCCATCTGGGAATAAGCTCTGCAAGCTGAAAGATCACTAGAGGAAGCGTTTCAGAAGGTGGGAGAAATATATATAGTAAATCTGTCTGTCTCTGCATATATACATAGAGACACGAACAGTCAGAGAGAGAGAGAAAAAGAGAGATTTTAATAGTTCACAACTGTGTCGTCTTCTTCTACTGGAGGAAGATTTGTTTATTGGAGAGAGGGAGAAGGAGAGTGGGCGGGGACGTGTAATAAGGTAAATTCGTTGGCTTGGTGGAAAAGCTTTATGCGCATCTTGGCGCACTATAGCGCCGTACACAGCTCCTCGATGCGTCATCATGAATTAACGTGCGCTTCCCTTTTAATCCCAATAGAGTGCTGTCCTATACACTTGCGCTTTTGCTTTTTTATGACAGAAAAACTAACCACAATGACAACAAAATGGTCACGTTATAAACTTTTTGATACATTTAAAAAATAATATAAAAATTTTATTTTTTAAAAATATAAAATAAAAATTTTAAAATCTTTTAAGGTATAAAATGCAATTCGCCTTTACTTGTTTAGACGCAAAGGAAAGAAATGGTTTGTGCAGTGGGCTGGTTGGGCGAAGGGCAAAAGCTGCCCGGACCACATGGGTGCCAGCTAAAGTATTTTGCATTTGCAAAGGAATATGAGAGGCATTCCAAGACATGGGAGACATTGGGGCTTACTTAACTTGTTATACTGCTTGTTGTATTGATCATATTTTATTAATTGCAAGCTTAATTGCCATGTTCAATTCACATGGCTCTAGTCTAGGGCATGGGGGTTGTAACATGGTATTTTCTTAGATAATCCACCACCTAATACCTTTTGGAATTTTGGGTAAAAATATATAATTATTTGAGCTATCAAAAAACTAACTGAAAAAGTACAAGAGAATGTTTGCAATATTTGAACCAATGAGTAGATAGTGTGGCTATAATTTATAATTTTTCGTACGACCTGTCAATACGACACAAAATTATTATTATTAAATTAGTGATCATAATAAAATTGACTTGTCAAATCCATTTANAATATAATTATTTGAGCTATCAAAAAACTAACTGAAAAAGTACAAGAGAATGTTTGTAATATTTGAACCAATGAGTAGATAGTGCGGCTATAATTTATAATTCTTCGTACGACCTGTCAATACGACATAAAATTATTATTATTAAATTAGTGATCATAATAAAATTGACTTGTCAAATCCATTTAATAAATGAGTCATGTATGATTTAAACCAATTTGATGTGACAGACAAAACTTACACATAATACAACACGAAATTACTATCAAATTACCGAATATATGTTTATTCTTAACGAGTACAAATTATAATATAATTGACTTATGAAATCCATTTAATAACAAAGTCATGTATAATTTTTGAACCAATTTTACTTCAAGCTACACATTAGCATTATTATGATGTTTTTGCTAAGCTTCCTTCTCAGTCATTGGACTTCATAAGATGGTATCTATCATATAAAGAAGTTATAATGTTCTTTTTCGTGTGCCCAAAAGCCTACCTAGTTTATGAGCCCCTTTCCGATTCTCTCACTATACTTCTACAAGACTCCATCCAAATCCGTCGTCATGGTGTTTAATTCTTTTTATTGAAACTATACCTTCAATTCCATTCTTCGTCTCTTTACTTGCAGCATTCTTGCTCACCCTAACATGTATTTTAGAGTGTCATATTTGGGCGATAACACATGCTGCAAATTTCATTTTAAGGGAAGACAAANTCATCCAAATCCGTCATGGTGTTTAATTCTTTTTATTGAAACTATACCTTCAATTCCATTCTTCGTCTCTTTACTTGCAGCATTCTTGCTCACCCTAACATGTATTTTAGAGTGTCATATTTGGGCGATAACACATGCTGCAAATTTCATTTTAAGGGAAGACAAAAGCAACATCAGGGAATTGACATAATTTGTTGATATAATATTTTTAATTTTAAATTGGCAACGGGTAATCTAGTGTTGAATTTTTCATTATAATATTTCATTATTTGTTGTNAAAAGGGAAGACAGAAGTAACATCAGGGAATTGACATAATTTGTTGATATAATATTTTTAATTTTAAATTGGAAACGGGTAATCTAGTGTTGAATTTTTCATTATAATATTTCATTATTTGTTGTAGCAATGACCAATTGATTTACCTATTAATATTATAGAAGGTGAGGGATTGTTTAGTGTCCATTATAAAATACCGATAATACCCCCCACCCCCCACTTTTTTAACTGCCACCCACAACTCCCTATTAACTGCATTTAGTAGTCTATAATTTATCTCTTTTGATCGTATCTCTCTTCCTCACTCTTTTGCTAGGTCAGTACTTCACAATTACGCACGGATGGTCGTGTGCAGAATTCGTTAGAATAAAAAAAAAATAGCATAAGTTAATAGACAGAATTAAAAAATAATAATAATAATAAAAAGATGGGCATTATGGTAAATATACATGTCAGTATACTTGCTAATCAAATATTCTANTTATCTCTCTTCCTCACTCTTTTGCTAGGTCAGTACTTCACAATTACGCACGGATGGTCGTGTGCAGAATTCGTTAGTATCAAAAAAAAAAATAGCATAAGTTAATAGACAGAATTAAAAAATAATAATAATAAAAAGATGGGCATTATGGTAAATATACATGTCAGTATACTTGCTAATCAAATATTCTATTAAACTAATTTTTTTTTAATAAATAGTAATTCTTTGATATGATCATGAGGGTCTTTCATTATTAATTAAATATCTAATTTGAGTTATAATTATTAATTTAAAAAGATAATCCGTTACTATAAAATCACTAAAATCAATCAATAAATTACTGCATTATTTTTGTAAATTAAATCATATTTTATAATCACTTAAAAATTAGGAACAATCTCTTAAAGGAGTACAAGTTATTACATCGGCCAACTGCTGGGTTACCAAAGTCATATTTATATTGCTGTTAGCAACTGAGGAGGAATAATAAAATTAATAATGGTGTCGGCGTGGAGGCGGGAACTATTATACCACTTACAATTTAGGAGGGCGGATGGGTGGCGTGTTGACAGGTTGACAGACGATGATAGATTAGGACTTAGGAGATTATGAACAGATATGCCAGCCACCCAGAGGCCACGTGACAATGACCCTCCTCAAACTCAATTATAATTTGATTAAAATGTATTAACCACTCATTAATTATTTTTTATAGTAAAATTGATAACACTTTTGTTTTGTTGTATGCGTAATTAAAATCACAATAATGTTGTCCTAGTCATGATGATCTTTAATAACAGTGGCAGTCATGAACTATAAATTTAAAAACAAAAGAACAGTAACGTTTACAACCACAACTTTGTCCTTTTTTCATATTGTTATAATTAAAAATTAATAATGGACTAAAATACAACATCACATTCAAAGATGTCATATTCGAAGAAAAATTAATAATTTAAAAGAGATTTTATAAATATCTTAATTTTGACGTAATTAACTTAGCTTTGATTGAATCAAAAAATAAAACAAATTAAACGAAATACGTATAAACTAATTCGAACACACTTAATTGTTGAAGTGTCACGATCCCCTAGTCTTTTTATAACTTGGGCACCGGCTCTGTGTACTAAAAAGGGAAGAAATTGGTGTGAAATTGAGAGGTCAATTTAAACTTGAGTTGAAATTCATGTTTACTTTGGATCGAGTTATCCGGGAACAAGACTGACTGGGAACATTCTTGTGGACGAAACTGTTCAATCAGTTTGTTGAGCACTATTCGTCCACGCAGACTAAATGAACGGACAGGGCCCACCTGACTCATTTTACACCAAGGTCAAGATGTGTTTAACCCATTTTTTCTACCCAAATTTGCTGACATGGCAGTTGGTGAATGGCTGCTTGAAAATCTCATGTGTTTCATGTAAGCCGTCGGATTTTTCTCCATTCTTTCCTAAGGAGAACTTTCAATCTTTTATGGCTAAATCTAATGAGCTGTTAGTGAAGCTAGACATGGCAGCTGTTTCTTGGATTGATATTAAATGTTTTGAGAAACAATTCAAGAGAGTATTGTGATTGTGTGTTTTAAAAAGAAAATCACTTATTACGTGGGTGGGTCCAGTGCCTTATTAAAGCCAATTATTCTTGTAACTCTTAAAAACTCAAGACTTCAATTTGAGTCCTGTCTGTCTGAATTTTTTTAAGTTGTATTGAAATTTCTCTGTCAAAATTTATTCTATGTACCGAAAATCTCTGTTGAAATGATTTGAGTATTTTCGAGATCAATTACTTATAAGTTAGAAAGACCAAACCACTTACATACAATCTAATAACATATGTATTATAAGCATAATTTATTCAAATATAATATTGTAACCCAGATTAACTAGAATAGCATTGGAGTGGGTAAAGTAAATCTCTTTTGAGCAATTAATTAGTAATAATTAAGGGAAGATTAGTACATACATAGATTAGCTGGATAATGACCCTTACGTTTCATTATCACAAGTCAAAGTAAGACATCACTATCTCCGTGCACGTTAAGGTCTGATAGTGTGTAAAATAATTTAACAATAATTTACTTCCGAACCCATTTCTGATAGTGTGCAAGTACATTCTTCTTAATATTAACTTGTATTTTGGGCTACTCATTCTACCCTCCAACCCATTTCTTAATTTAATGAATTCATTTACCGTTGTGAAATTCGTACGATAATTAGCTATTTTTTTTAAATTATTCTCAAAACAAAATTGTAGAGCTGACGAAGTAGAATGACATAAATTTAAGGACACTAATATTGTGTTAGGTTAATTATAACGCTTCAATGCTCGTATAAGTTATGAAAGGCTAATGCTCNGAGAGAATTACACTTAGATTTCATAAGATTTGTTATTTAATCATTTAGATCTTCTAATATATTTAAAATATTACACACAGATTTCTAAATTTTGTATACGCATAATACTTAGGCCTCTACTGTCAAATATCGGTTAATATATTTATTAATAAATTACACTCAGAGTCCCTGAAGTTTGTAAGAACATAATATTTAGATCCCTAAAGTTTAAAATATTATACTTAGATTAAAAATATTTCAATCAAAAATAGAATATCAAATATTTTAAATTTTACTACTAAAATTAGTATTCTATTGTATCATTTANCATAATTATTAATTTAAAAAGATAATCCG